GAATAAAAATTTTGAATTGGAAGTTCTGGAAGAGTCATTTACGAACAACAAATACAACAGCAGCATCAACATTTTACCAGCAGAGCAAAGAAATGACAGTTCCATTCCAGTTAAAGGATAATTGTCAATTTGCCCCCACCTTCCATTACTGAAGAATGGTGTACATAATAACAAAGCAAAAGTAAGGCACTGAGGCAGAAGGCAAAAGATAATAAAGGAGACAGGGAAGAAATTGATTTCCAAACTCAATCCAGACTGCTAGGAACATTTTTTTTTTCCCCTCAGGTCTTAGTATCATTACCTATACGATGCAAAATCCCTCCAGGGAATGTAAGGCTCGAGAAAAATGCCCTATGTGTTCTTTCACCTATTATAATTCCCAGGTATTTTGAACACGTGATACTAGAATAACGTAAGATTGAGCAAAGATTTGAACAGACATTGTTTTTTTAAAATAGCAGGCTAAGTAGGGGTGCCTGTGTGGCTCAGTCAGTTAAGGGTCGGACTTCAGCTGAGGTCATGATCTCATGGTTTGTGAGTTCAAGTCCCACTTTGGGCTCTATGCTGCAGCTTAGACCCTGGAGCCTGCTTGGAGTTCTTTGTCTCCCTCTCTCCCTGACCTTCCCTCACTTCCACTTTTATCTCTCTTTCTCTCAAAAAACAAACATTAAATAAAAATGGCAGCCTAAGTAGAAGGCTTGAGCAATGCCAGAGTGGGTATTCCCTTTTGGATTTGCTAATGCTCATGTGCAACAAGTTGTGCTGCCTTAAGATGAGGACTCTTTTAAGCATGAGCAAGCAGGGCCATTTTCTTCTCTTCATTCTCATCCTGCCTGCTTCCTATTAAGAACTGTGGCTGAGAAATTTAAGATACCTGCTAACACCAGAGCCAAGATTTTTGTGCCCCCCTCCCCTGCCCCATAACTATGGTGGCAATGTTGAATGGAGAAAGAGAGAGACCACGTTATCCCTGAGATTTACTGTTCCTGAATCTCTGGAGAGACACCTGGTTTTAAAAAGGTACCTGCAAAACTCTATTATGCTGTTATATATGGCAAAAATCAGCTCTTTATACTACAAATGCCAGAAAAAAGTAAACCAAATCATTTTAGCTGTTCCTCTTCTAACTATAATTTGCATAAGAGTGATTCACAAAGAGCAGGGCTACTGTCCCCTTCAAGACAGGATATGAAAATCTATAAAATACATATTCACTTTTAATATTAACTAGAGGGAACATGAAACTTTACAAAGAAAAACATTTTAAGAAAACTTCTACATGTGACTTAAGTAGACAAACCCTTCCAAAATTGGTGAAATAATTATTCACGCACACTGCCAATTTAACTTTCATATCTGTATGTAAATTAAACTGCAGAGCTCCAAATATGTGTTATGAATATTACTGTGTCAATATTGTACAGAGTGCAACTCCAAGAAGTTTAACTAAGACATGTGTTTAAGTGAGGCCAAAGGTGAAGACCACAGATGTTTGTTGGCCTGTTGGTGGTATCAAGCTTGGTTGGCTGCATGGTGCATGCTCCCCGAAGAGAAACATTTTCATGAAATTCTGCTATGGAACTTGGGTGCATCTAATAATGATCATAAACAAAAGTCTCTTCATTTCCCATACCGCAGCCCACAACCCTCCCAACAAAATGTTCCATTATGAGCCAAGTGCCTTGATAACACAACACACATCTCCTAGGACTAGAGCAAGACTTTGTGAGAAAGAAAACCACAGCCTCCCTCTGAATCCAATCAAAACCTGAATGTGCTTATGAAAATAAACCAAGGTCATCGTTATTCTTCTCATCGTGATTTGGCTTGCCTTCAAATTACATACTCTGTATATGTGAAATAACTGTACCGCCTCCATTAACTGAGTTTGCCATCATTTTAATCAATGTATCTTTTCAGAACGAAAGGCAGAAATGTCAAATTGCGACCGTTATACATTCTTTTAACTCTCTGATCTGCATTAAATAAAAGCCGGTCTTTGAGAAGTAACGCGGGCCTTAAAGAAATATAATTGGCATCAATTGCATTTTAAAATGTAACTGGGAAAAGATTCAACAACAACGAATCTCTTCATATGGAGGTGGTTTCCCATGAAGCTTCTGAAGGTTAAGCCTTGAGGCCCATCACTTTATGCGGGCTCTTCCCAAGGTCCTACCTGATTTTGTATGCATAATTTTGTATTATTTTCCTTAAAAGACCCCGCTCCCTCAAATTATAAAATCCCAGGCCCTTTAAAACCTAAGTTGACGTCTTCCTTCATGGTTCATTATATTTTGTCAGACTGAGGACAATTTGTCAATTTCTTACAAAATGACAGGTGTCTAAAATAGAAAATGAACAACATGAACAGAAAATTCTCTTCAAGGAAAGGTTAATTTCCAATGACTCTTCAATGGCTTTAGTACTCTGTGATTTAAATGTGTATGCATGCATTTATATAAACATATATACTCACACCAAAATACCATGTTTCCCGTATTTGCAATGGAATAAAAATAGTTTAATAAAAATATGATAAATCATTTTTAATAAGTTAGATATTACAGTAGAAGGTGGAAAGGGAAGGACAGTTTGGGAAATCGCTTTTATTCTCGTGGTAAAGCCATGATGAAGCATAGTAAAATAGGGATTTTAAAAACCCTGACTTTTCGAAGACAACGAAGATTTAAATCTCTTTTATTAAACCACACAAGTGGTTAAGAACTTGACAATTTGTTTCTCATGTAACAAATGACTTGAACTACAAGGACTTCAAATGAATCGTTCAGAACTAAAGAGGAAACTCTATTAATATATCTGTCCAAATTATGAATTTATATTTCAGTACTGTCTAGCTGGGGTAGTGTCAACCAATACATTTTTTTCCCTTAAATAACCTAAATTTGCACAAAGGACATGGTAATCGTCAAGTTTACAGTAACCACAATATGACATTCTCTATTGCACTGTCAATAATGTTATGCCATGTGAAAGACACAGAAAACTTCTTATTCGGTTAAAATATATATTATCTATGTAGATCAGCAATGTATCTTTCAGTTAAGATGCCTTTAGAAGACTCTGCAAATAAAATCATTCTAAAAGATGATTTTATTAGACCTCAAGATAATTTATATTCTTTAAAAACTTCCAATGAAATGTATAGTTGCAATAAATGATTTGAGTAACTCTTTGCAATGCAATATTTGAGCAGTTCTAAAAGTAAACAATATTTATGTTAATAATACACTGATCTTCTGGCAATGACTTTCATTAAAAACAAACCACATGTACTCTTTTCAGTTTTTCAAACTATGGCAATTTAAAAGAAACACACATTCAAATGTCAATACATTCAAACAGAAGTGTATCAGGTGGTAAAAGTTAACGTGTAATAGAACTGTGTGAATCTCTTCATATTCTCTTCACAAACCCACTGTCATGCAGCCTAAGTATTACCTGATAGCTTTAAAATGTACTTTAATCAAGTCCTACAAAACTTGTCCCCAAAAGGTTAGCTTTCTTCAAATTCTGTAAGAATTTAAAGCTGCTTCAATATCCATGCCAAAGCAGAGACTCCCTTTACCCTCACTACATTCCAGAGTTGCAGCTTTGCTATTTTTCCAAAATCACTCCATAAACTGGTTTATGGTTTTCAGTGTATAGGTCTATCAATTGATCAATCAATATGTGTGTACTGCAAAGAATATATGCTGTTGTATTTTTGTAATATTAGTAAATGGAATAGTTTTTCAACCAGAAAGCAGTTCTGAGGCTCACCAAATAAGTTCATAAAATAAGGAAATTTCATTAAAACACGTTTACTATAAAATCTGGTAGCACCTAATGTCAATCAATAAATGCCCAATGTTTTTTTTTTTTTTCCACCCACAGTTTTTTCTGAGGCCAAAGTTCTGTTCTGAACTTTGAACATAAGTTTTCAAGAATTACTTAATTGGAGAGGTTTACTTTATCATTGCTAATTATAGGCATCACCATCAAATCTGTTTCAGAATGGTTATAATCCACCAAAGGCGGGGGGGGGGGTTAGAAAATCCCCTCCATCCATCTCTTTGGGACACTCTGTATTCCTCATATATTATTTTTATATATTATTTTTGCTATTGTGCCACAGTCAATTTTTAACTTTTTCATTAGTCATCATGACTTTCTTAAAATAAACAAAATAGATCTGCTTTATATAAAAGCCAAACTAAAAAGACTAACTGAAAAGTTAGGTCATACTAGATATAAAACAACACGGTGAGCTTAGTGTGAAATAATTAGAAGTCTCTCATGCTTTTATGTTGTATTCTTGACAAAAGTGCCTGGTCACTTGCCAACAGAGATCGTATCATTATTTGAAGGAATTTTCATGATACGCTACAGAACATAACATTCACAATACTAAATATAATATGAGAAAAGAACTTTTAAATTAAATATTTATCAATCCTTTTCTCTGCCTCCATTTATCCATTACAATTCATTTTGTTTTCAATTTTTCCCCCAAGATGTGTTACATAGAATTTTTCTGACCTTGGGGTCTCCATGCATTATTCCCATACCACAATTAGTTCATTGAGAAGATATGGTAGGTCACTGACCCACATGTAATCATTACTGAATAGAGAAGTGTCAAATAATCAAGATAATAACTCAGATATACAAACTATTTCACAGCAATTAAAATAATTTGCTACAAGTACTCCAGGCCAATTACCCATATTCTATTCCTTTAGTGGTTTCTTGAATAAGAAATACCTGCTTGATTGTATTTGCAAAGAAAACACTTTAAACTCTACTTTTCTCCTGAAAAGTTTTCCCAATGTGAAACATGTACACCTGCACACATATATGTGTACATTACAGAGAAGATAACATTTATGCTTATTCACAGACCACTATAATACTTTAAAATCAATCTGCCTAATCAGTGCGCTTGCCACAAATTGTAAGTTATGCCATGGGGAAAATATTTTCAATTACTTTGTACTTACAACACTCGTCTACTTCTTCCCACCAAAGCATTTGGGGAAAAAAAAAAGTATCACCGCAGCAACAAATATCTTGGTAAATTTGCTCCCAACTTAGGTGCTCCGATAGGTTTAGGAATGATGAGAAATCAACCAACTTCAGCAGCCTTTTAAAACATAACAATTCAGTTTTTCCTATTCGTTTTTCTCTGAAGCCAAATGCCTCCAAGATCAGAGTCCTGTAAGGGGAAAGTGAGTGATCCCAACACTGAGTGAGTCAACGGAGTAACTGATGCCAGGATTCTGTAGAGGCCCCTGGATATTTCAAATTCCAGGACCTGCGCACAAGCAAGGGACCCGCCTTCTCTCTCAAGTTGGTTTCCCATAATAGGACTGCCCGTGGTCACTACAAATAAGGTTGTGCTGCGAGCATGGCAAAGCCCTGTGAAGTCAAATAATGTTCAAGTGTGATCTGATTAATATCCAAACAAGAACAACACAGTGGACAAAGTACTTGCTCTCAAAGGCTTCTAAACATAAAAACTCTTCAGACAAAACTACAACACTTTCTGTAACTTCTATACACATTTCTAAAATAAGAGAGCAGAAAATCCTAATCCAGAAAAGACTTTTAAATGCCTTTCCTGTTTTTCCCATTTCAACAACGCAAAAATTTCACTCTACTGAACAAAAAGAAATGCCCAGAATAATCTCTGCATTCATTATGTATCCACTGTCTATGAAACTTAATTTCTACCCTGGAGATCTTGTCAGAAGTCATGTATTGATGATGCCAACAGTCTGTAAGAAAAGCAGCAGCAGAATGTAGCAGCTGAGCTCTGAAGGCAGAATGTGTATAGCTCACAGGGGACAAGGTTTATTCTAAAATACAGAATACTCTTATAATTGAATCAAGAAATCTTCCTAAAATGCTAAATTCCCGCAGTACCTTAAGATAAAACTTTACTAACAAATCACTCTTTCTTCAATTTCTTTGGTGGCAATTATTGAAATACCATTCTCTTAGACACTGGGTTCAATATTAATTACTTAATGGTTCGCAAAAATAAGTTTTCTCTATTAAATGGACACAGTTTTAATAGGCGACTCGGCATGTTTGTAAATGATTCTTTGCCAGTAGAAGACTTCTTTCTTATTTTTAATGCAACAGGTGAACCCATTTTTTATAAGAAACACTGGTTTAACTTTTTAGAAAGTTATTTGTTTTCTAATAATACTCTGAGCTAAAATCATTTCACTATTTTTATAATACCGTTTGTTGAAGTGACAGACTCATTTTTCTATGTCAAGCATTCCAATGCTTGGCAGCAAAATAAATTATAGATAAAAATAGAAAAAAAAAAACCTGGCATACTGAATCATTTTATGATGTTTACCTTAATAGTTATATATTTCCTATTTTAGAATATAATTATCATAATATCACCATTCCCCACAACAAAATCAATAGGAAATAAAGCAGAGGGCTTAAATTGTAGGTAATTGTACTTAAGTTACTATTATCCAAAATATATTTACAATATTCTCTGTAAGTCATCTCATTTCCTCTTCTTAGTGTGGTCATCTAAATATGTGTATATGCAACAATTTCATAAAACAAAATTAAAATGGTTTTTGACCAACATGGAACCAAGTCTGCATTTTACCAAGCGTTGTTCTGTGCTATTGGGTACAATATCACCCTGAATGTAAGTTCCTTTACAACTTGTACTGTGAGTTTTCTAAGGATATAGATCCAATTAAGCCAAGGCATATGGACAGTTCATCATATAAACTGTGGTCCATGAAGCATCAACATCACACGGGAAACTTTCTGGAAATGCTATACACCTGAGATCTGAGAAATAAACACTCCGGGAGTAGGACCTAGTACTGTTTTACAGGTGATTCTAATGCATAGCCAATTGTGAAAAACCATGAAGTGTATGTTTCTAAAAATAAGTACGGCTCCAAATATACCAAAATCCTGTCTTGGTTAATACTGACTACACAAAAAAGCAGTAGATTTGAAGGATTTCAGGTACATCTTAACGGTCTTTTAGTGTTAGTCAATAATCAGAACTTACTGGGCACCTGTAAGAAATTCTACATTAATGTGAAATAGACATACTTCCTTTAAGATTTTAAAATCTAGGTGAGAAGATCTACTTAACTCAGAAAGCCGAAAGGTACCTAAAATACAATGTAGTCCAAACAGAGTGAATTCTAATTCAGACCTTGTTCTATTTTTCTGTGGTCCTCACTTACTTACCTTTTTTATTTAGTCCTCATGATAACTACATTGGCAAGGTCTTAGGAGCCCCATGACAAAGATGACCCGTTAAAGCAACTTGCTCAAATTCCCACTGTTCATAATTGGCAGAATGGAGCTTTTTAAAATTTAACTTTTTATGTTGAGGTAATTACATATTCACAAAAAGGTTGCAAGGACAGTAAGCAGGGATTCCATATACTCTGCATTCAGTGTCCTCAGTTACACTTTTTAAGACAAAATTAGAGGGAGGGAGAATATGAATATATTCGTGGGGAGCCCAATGAGGGACTCAATCCCATGACCCTGGAATCATGACGTGAGACGAAATCAAGAGTCAGATGCTCAACTGACTGAGCCACCCAAGTGCACCCTCAGTTACATTTAAGCAAACCATTATGCAATTTCAAAACCAGAAAACTGACATTAATATGTTTACATATTTCTGCCATGTTCTAATACTGTGGATTTGTGTAGCCACAGCTTAAATCACAATATAGAACCTAAAGAATGGTTCCCTCACCACAAAGATCTCACTTCTGCTCTCCCTTTATAGTCCTACCAACAACCACTCTGTGATGCCATACCCCACAGCCTGGTATCTGCTGATTCATTCTCCATCACTGTAATTACATCATTTCAACAATGTTACATAAGTGGAATCATTCAGTACGTGATCTTTTTTAAAAAATTTAACATTTATTTTAAGAGACAGAGAGAAACAGAGCACGAGCAGGGAAGGGACAGAGAGAGGAGACACAGAATAGGGAGCAGGCTCCAGGCTCTGAACTGTCAGCACAGATCCCAATGCGGGGCTCAAACTCAAAAAGCGCAAGATCATGACCAGAGACAAAGTCGGACACTTAACCAAGTGAGCCACTGAGGCGCCCCCATGATATTTTGATAACAGCTTTTTTCACTTGGCATAATGTCCTAGGGATCCATTCAAGTTGTCACCAGCTTCCATAGCCTGCTTTCTTCTACTGTGAGTAGTAGTCCATGTTAGTAACATACTATGGTTTAGTTACAATAAATGTAGGAAATTTTGGTTATTTTTGGCTTGAGTTTACTACAAATAAAATTGCAAAACCATCATGTACATATTTTACATTTATCTGGGATTAATGCCCAGGAGTAAAGTTGTTGGTTCTACGCTACATGTTTACTTTTTTTTTTTTTTTAATGTTTATTTATTTTTGAGAGAGACAGAGACAGAATGCGAGTGGGTTGGGGCAGAGAGAGAGGGAGGCACAGGATCCAAAGCAGGCTCCAGGCTCCGAGCTGTCAGCACAGAGCCTGACGCGTGCTCGAACTCACAAGCTGTGAGGTCATGACCTGAGCGAAGTCGGATGCTCAACCGACTGAGCCACCCAGGCGCCCCATATGTTTACTTTTTAAATAAACTGCCAAAACATTCTCCAGGGGGTCTGTACCATTTTACCTTTCTGCCAGCAATGTGAGTGATCCAGTTTCCCTGTATCCTATTCTCTGTATCATATTCTCTACATTCTCTGTATGGTATATGGTATCGTCAATTTTAGTTTTTTTAGTCTTAAGCAGGTAGAGATATATTATGGTGGTTTTAATTTGAATTGTCTGGTTAATGACATTGAACATCTTTTCTCATGCTTATTTGCCATCTGAATGTACTCTCCACCAAAATGACTGTTCATGTCTTCTGCTCACTTTCCAATTAGATACCTTTCTTTTTAACTGCTAAGTTTTGAGTGTTTTTTATATTTTTCAAGGTATGAGTCCTTTGTTGGATACGTGATTTGCAAATAGTTTCTCCAAGTTGGTAGCTTATCTTTTCATCTTAACGGTGTCATTCCAAGGCAAACTTTTTGAACTTTTATTAAGTCCAATTCACTGCATTTTTTTTTTCTTTTTATGGATGGTGCTTTTGGTATCAGGTCTAAAAACTATTCACCAAGCCTTAATTCATCAAGAGTTTCTACCTTTTTTTCCTAACTTTTTCATCATTTTATATTTACATTTAAATCTGTGATTGAGTTCACTTGTGTATGAGGTGTGGGGTTTCTGAAGATTATTTTTTCTTATAGATTTCCAATTGCTCAAACAGTACAACAGCATTTGTTGAAAAGGCTATCCTTCCAATGAATAACGTTTGTACTTTTGTCCAGAACCAGTTGGGCCTATTTGTGGGGATCTATCTCTGGGATCTCACTTCTGTCCTACTGATGTGTTTGCCTATCTTGTTCCCAATACCACACTGCCTTAGTTAACTCTACCTCTGTAATATATGCCTAAGCATTAGAGTTATTCCTTCTACTTTATTACTCTTTTCCAAAACTGTTCTAGAAATTCTAGGTCCTGTGTGCTAGCTTACAAATTTTACAGTAGGCTTATCTACAAATAGATCTACAGATCAGAATTAAAAATACGATTTCTGGTATTGTGATGGGAATTGCTTTAAGTAGATAAGTTTGGGGAGGTATGACATGTTAACCATGTTGAGTCTTTTAATCCATCAATCCATTACAAATATATTTGCAATATTCAGGCCATCCTTAATTTATATCATAACAGTGCTTTGTATTCTGACTGGATGGGTTTTTTTCACATTTCTAATATGCTTCTGAGAGTATTACTGTTATATATGTAGTTGCACAAAGGAAAAGAGCAGGGGTTGCTAAACGACACTTTCAGAAAAGGGTATTAAACAAACGTACGTAACTCAACATGCACCATACATGTATGCTTTGAAAATTATTTTAATATTTTTAAATGTTTATTTTTAAGACAGAGAGACAGAGTGTAAGTGGGGAAGGGTCAGAGAGAGAGGGAGACACAGAATCTGAAGCAGGCTCCAGGCTGTGAGCTGTCAGCACAGAGCCCGAGCCAGGGCTTGAACCCACAAATGTTGAGATCATGACCTGAGCCAATGTTGGACACTTAACCGAGCCACCCAGGCGCCCCAAAAATAATTTTAAATGATAAAGTTTTCATTGTTACACATGAATTAATACACATGGATTATTTCTTCAAGAA